GGGGGATGGGGGGTCGAAGCTTGCGATATCGTTTTACTTAAAGGTGAATCCCGTTTTTCCTTCATCGGGATGACAGTTTATTTTATTATCTCAAGAAAGAAACGTATTTGTAATGCGCAAATTTATTGCATGTAGAAGTGCGCCCTTTTCGATCTCCTCGCTATTTCTGTGTTCTAAGACAAAATCGCAGTCTGTGCCACCGCCAATGGGCTTCGGGTGTTCTCGTTTAACCTAACCTAACCCGTGCACGAAAGCGGAGGAATTCTTAGAGGTTTGGCGTGAATTTTCTGCAGGCTTCGATCCCATCCTTTATTTGCTATTTATCAATAGGCCTTTATCTCTCGTGTTTGATAGTTGGTATCTGCGTCTGCCCCCTCAATCAGCTCATAATACACCAACTTCCTTCACAAGCCCCTTCTGCTAGCATTCTCACGTTTGCCTCAATGCCGCTGTGAGTTTTGGATCTCGTTCCTGAGAACTGAGTCTGTACCAAGACGAACCGATTTCATTCCGATCAATAGCCTTTCAGCCATCTTTAAAACGTTCAATACAGCATCTCTCTTCGCTGAATGCGATATGTAAAATTATGGGAAAGAAAATAATCTTAAATTGGGGGGCGGCTTCACTCTCTCAAACACACAACGAACTTCCGAAGGAGAAAGTGTCACTAAAATACGGAACTTCCACTGACAAGAACTTGTGTGCGCTTGAAGTAGCTTATGTGTATTTTTGTAGTCGGGGTTGTTGGCCAGGCCAAACCCTTTTCAATGTTACGACACTGATATAGCCGTTCACGCTGTACGTACGTACGTGAGTTGGTAAGGGGTCAAACACCCCACGCTGCCCTAGCCACTACACACGTGGAGCCCTCTTCTGTGGCCCCCGCCCCATTTATGCCTCAAGGCCGCATTTCTGTTGCGGCACAACGTTACGTATATTTTTTCTTCTTAGTGACAGCGGAAGATACATCCCTCACTTCTTTTATACACGGCAATGGAAATGAGAAACCCACATTCCAACAAGTTTCATCCCCTTTTATTTGTTTTCAGTTCTATTCGCACGGGCTTTCCAACTTCTTAAAAGAAAATGTCGCCATATTGTAATGGATGATTTTGAAGTCTGATATTATTGCTACGTGAAATGTTTTGGGGGTCACAGATGGTGAAAAGTTAATATTTTTTAATACTGAAGATAGGTTCAGAACTTGATCGAAGGTAAATAAATGTATAAATTCATTTTATACAACAGCGGGCAGCAATTTATTTCGTACTTTGACGTGTAACATTTGGGTTTTTTAAAAGATGCAATTTTAGTTAAAACAATGAAGCAACAATAAACGACAATCGAAAACCCCACTTCCACTCGCCACGTTTTCCGTTTCCACTACTACGGACAGGGGTCCACCGGGTTTTACCTACAACCAGTGGATACTTGCTGACATGGCGTCTTGAAGCGCTGTGAAGTATTTCGATCCTAGTAAAGGATTTCATCCCTCGTCGATGCCAAGGCTGCAAACATGCACAGGTAATGGTATGTAAAGTAGAACTGTTCGAAAAATATATTATTTATCACTTTGATACGATGAATTGTACGTGTCATTATATATTATTGATTTTATCCGAGATTTTACAGGATTGAAAATACGCAGTAGGGTCGACGACTTCTTTTTACCCCGAAAGAAAATCAATATTATTCGGAAAATTGTCGTCGCCAGTACAGTTTTATTACTGCTATATTTTAATCGAATTGTTCACTTTGAACTGCGTAAGACGGAGTGTTCTTATTTTATTACAAGTGGAAATAGAACCGAGTATTTCCCGTTAAATCAACTAGGCCAGGGGGAAAAGGGTTGCGTAAAAGGTCTCGCCGCGGGAGGGGAGGGTGGGGTAAAGAGCTTATGATAAGAGCAACATGGCGGAAGGGCTGGGTTGGCAGTGACGAGAAAGGGTGGAATTCTAAAAGGATTCACAATATTCTTGATCTCCGTGAGGTGCAGTTTATTTATGATATTGATATCTGAAACGTTTTCAAGTGACTAGTTAAAGAATTGGCCATGATATATGTGTTAGGCGTAATTGTTGCCACCTGTGTGATTCATAGGGTGTTTCAGTTTGATAATTCGCCCGTTGCACTTCGCACTAATTCTGAATATTCAAATATTTTGACAGGAGTTTGGATGAGGATTGGAAAAGCCACAGTGCCACCTGCTAGCAGCCAACATCGGTAACCATGACGTCAGCACTGTCATCACAGCGGTTCTGCCTGCGTTGGAACAACCATCAGTCAAATTTATTATCTGTGTTCGATCGGTTACTACAAGATGAATCTTTCGTGGATGTCACGCTTGCAGCGGAGGGTCGTTTACTCCGTGCCCACAAGATGGTCCTGTCAGCATGCAGCCCATATTTCCAAGCTCTATTTATAGGGCATCCTGACAAACATCCAATTGTTATCCTGAAAGATGTACCATACTGCGATATGAAGAGTTTACTGGACTTTATGTATCGGGGAGAGGTAAGCGTGGATCAGGACAGGTTAACCGCATTCCTCAAAGTTGCTGAGAGCCTGAGGATAAAAGGACTGACAGAGGTAAATGAGGAAAAGTGTGACCTTCCATCAATAACGTCTTCCCTCCTGTCATCTGTGCCGCCCCCAGTTGTGACTACACACACGCCTCCTCCGCCTCACCTACACAGGATCCATCCCACGTCATCCCCTCATAAACGTAGCATCCCAATGCCTTCAGCCTCTTCTGCCACCTCCAGTAACCCGTTGTTGGGTTCGGCACTAACCGCACCCAAAAGAAAACGTGGAAGACCACGAAAACTGTCTGGGAGTAGTGGTGGAGCCCCTACAGTGCCTGGTCTTGCAGAAGGTGCTACATCTTCCTCTGGCTCAAGTAGCAGGCACCAATCTGCAATAGATGGAAATGGAGACGCCGAAAACTCGCCTAGACTGCCGTCCGCAGATTCTTTGGTTGCGCAAGGATCACCTGAGTTGCTGGAGGTGAAGATGGGCATGGAGTTTCAGCATTCACCAGCCACAAATTCTGGTGCATCCAGGAGACCATCAGATGGTGAGAATGGGTCAGGTCCTGGGCCCAACACGTCGTCCACAGAAGAAGGGAAAGCGCCAAACAAGGTGAGTCATGCATTTACCAAAGTGGATTGCTTGAGATGTGAAAGCTGGTATTTTATGCGGCCTTTATAATTCTGTTCACACTCAAGTTGGCTGCAGGTATTTAAAAGGTTAATGCTGGGGTTAACAGTGTAGTGGTGTGATACTGCCACGCATAGTTACTTGAACTGCTCCTAAGATGTGATGCGCAGCTGTGGGAGACGAATATTGTCCGCTGATTCAGTTACCAAAATATTGTCTTTGCAGTTGAGAGATTCAGTGTGATTAGTAATACAGTGGACTGTAGCAAAGTGTGGCTTTGATTGTTTCATATTGGCATTTGTTGGTATATTCAGTGCAGAAAAAAGAAAAATGTATGTACAGGTGAATATGTAGCTTCGAGTTGGCTGGAAGTAAGGAAGTATCGCTGAAATTGCTTAACACATTTCAATCAAAGTTTTACGACTCTGTTATTTTGTGGAATGTATGTGCACATCCAATGCGCCGATATTGATTTCCTGCCTTTTGCCTTTTTTGCCCTGAATGTTTAAATTACGTGTGACCTGAGTGAAAGGTAAAGTCTGGCCAATGATGAGGAACTCTGTTATTGAGGGGATTAGTTGCTGAAGTTTCCCCTCTTTTTATGAAGGAAGTTAATTGTTTGGCAATCGTACAAGTTTTCACACTTCTGCAATGTCAGCTGTGGTGCGTAATTTTTACTTTTAGATTGTTATTGGAGCCAGGTACAGTGGCTGTTCTGTCTGAGGCATGCACTGCTTTGGACATTGGGATGGCGGGGGTTCAAATCCCACTTGAGGCACGGATATGCGTCCTTGTCGTTCCGCATTCTGTTCTGCCGTGTAGTTAGTGGCCTTGCGATGGGCTGCCTCCCCTCCCCCCAATCTATGGAATCTTACCATAAATCCTTATTCATAGAACACTGAAGAAGAAGAAAAAGGAAGTTAAGAATTTGTATGAATAGAAACTGATTTTAAAATCACCTTTGAATCATGTCACGCTGTATAGAGCAGTCCATTCAACACTGGGCCTTGGGTCACCCAAAACAGTGTCTGGTGTGGAGATAGTCATGAGGGTGGTATATACAGACTCGTAATAGTGAAATTGCGAAGGCTATGTACCTAAGAACGAGTCCACTTCATGTCTGGCTTACTCCGTGGCGAAAGAGACCTGTGGGTCGTCCCACTGCCGCTGTCTGCTGATCTGTGTAATACGGTAGTTCACAGAAGTGAGAAGAAAATGTGAAAAATTATATCCTGGAGGTGCAATAACAAATTACTGGATGGAGAAGAAATCTGGAGTTACTGAGATTTGTAGTGCATGACTAGCATTGCAACATCTGAAAGACATATTTTCACATCCCAGAAGTGAAATGTGTGCCCATTATGTAGTAGATACTTGTAGTCTGCAAAAGTAGAACATCATTTTCTTACTATAGTGAAGATGACTAAAATTTCATGTTTGTGCGCATTTCACAATTTGTATAATACCACAGACTGAGTCTGTGCAGAATACATCCAGGTTTGAATTGGTTTTTTAATATAAACTTATTTACAATAGCTAAAAGTGGTAACCTCCCGCACCCAAGTGTATTTTATATCAGTGAATTTTGAGACACAGATTGAAGTTCACATTTAGTGATTTCTAGAATAGTGTTCTGAATTTCAATATGCTGTCCCCAGAAAGTGTGTGGATTATTTTTATTTGGCAGGTCATACGCAAAGGAAAATAGTTTTATTATAAAATTGATGCTCACTCATTTATGTAGGCAAGCCATATTGAGAGATATAACATGCTACAAGTGTCTGAGAATTCAAATATCACTACTGTAACTAAAACAGAACAGAATTGCAATAAAAATAGCCTAAATTTATATTATTAGTGTAAAACTTGAGCCTGCCTTTGCTCCACTAGAGAATTAACATTTATTCTGTTTTTGAAATGCTAGTTTTAATTATACGTAAATTCACATAAGTGATTTTTTGAACAAAACTTTGTTTTGTTTAACATGTGTGTGCTATGATATTAAAATTAAATCCGTGGCGTAACAGCTCTAGAGAGCCAAAGCCGACTAGTTTGACTGCTGGCCTCACATTCACACGCCTAAGCAGAGGTGAACGATCATCCAACCAGATATAGGGTGACGTGTGGTCAGCACGACGAACCCCCAGCCATTGCTAGTTTTCATGACCGGATTGTAGCTCCCCAATTTCCTCACGATGCTGGGTTGGCACCGGTCGAAAGCTCATGAGAAAATTTCTTTTCCCCCCCGAGACTCGAACCAGCGCGCATTCCGTATCGCCGGTTTGAAGCATGATGCCTCAGACCGCGCGGCTATGGCGCGGGACGTGTGCTATGATATACTCCTTCCAAATTTTTGTCCAAACTTACGTAATTCTGAGATCCGAGATAGTAGTAAAGACGTGTGAGGGTAATTATAGCTTCCTGGCTGAAACTACGATGCAAAATTAAGTCAAACTCCAGCTCAGTTAATTCGAGTTGTGATTTTTCTGGAATATCACTGACTTCAGTGGAGGATGGTGTATTTGTAGTGTGGCTACAAAAGTAGTCGTGTCTCATTTTAAAATTCTCGGCCAAGGAATATGTCAGTTCTACAACATGAACTCTTGTGAAGAGAATGTATACTGATTCATCCTTATGAAGCAAATCACAGGAAGAAAACATTTTAATCTGTGTCTGAAATAGTTTAGCTTTATTTCAAAAGCTCTGACAGCCCCAAACATATCAGAATTGAGTTTTTGTTGGCCTTGAATTTTGGTTTCTAAGATATTTACATGGCAGCCAGTAGCTCTCTTTATCACCTAGTTCTGTGACAGTTTTGCCCTTCTCATTTGTGAAAAATTTCTATTTCCTAACATCCTAACTAAAAGAACGTTCAGCATCAATTTTCAACAAAGAGATTGAAACTGGAGATGATTAAGTCCATGAGATCAAAAGAAGCTTTTTATAACTGTTGCCACAACTTACATAACATGATCCAGCTTTAAAATTTTTCTAAGTGACTATGGATGCTGAAGTGATGTTCAACGTGAGATGGTGAGATCGGGATTTTGTTTGTCAGTTTCTTGATACATTCTACCCATCGAACCTGCTTTGTTTCCGGCAATATCTGGAGCCCCTTTTATTTAGTCCAGTGCAGCTTCAGATCCTATGGCTTTACGCATAATCAAAATCAAATCTTTTCATGTAACTGTGCCATAACTTTTAAAAATGGCTAGTTCTCTGACCACCTCAAAATATTCTCTCATGTTTTGGGTTGATGATTAATGATTGAGCAGTATTGCTTGTGTCATTACTGTGATCCATTGCTGAAACAAAAGCTTTAAATTCTTTTGCTTTGTGTCTGAGTTGATTAAATGATTTATTGTCATCATCTCACTGTGTCTGTTGCAAAAAGATAGACATACAGTATTAAAGGTTTTGGCCAAAAAAAAGTTTTCTTCCTGTGAGGAATGTTTACCTCTTTAATCTTTTATATTTTTTAAAAACTTTTTATTTATTATTATTTCCTAATATCTGTTTGTAGTAATGCATACATTTTGTCCCTTTAATGACACGAGTTAAAAACTTGCAGTATTTTTATATTAAATCTTTGTTACTTGGTAGTTGCTGTTTTGCGAAGACAATGCTTATGCTTGCACAGTATTTTGATACTTTTACTTACGCACTCATTAGCTTTGAATTCATTTTTCTTTGTTGGTAGGGAATCTTTTTAAAAAGAATCTTAGGAAAATGATAAACTTCAAATCAATACCGTGACTATTGTATACTAATTCCTAATTTTCATTTTGTGGTTAGGTTGTAAATTAATTTATAGTAAGATTATATATTAGTGTAGTCAGCTTCTCGCAGTTTTAATTATTGGCGACTGGTTTTATGTTGTTTATCATTGATCATTGTATTCAGTCCATTTTTAATTGGTTTCATTGAATAATGATCCTTCCTAGTACTTTGTATAAGAACTATTGATGGCGGAGCTTGGGCAATTTTGAGTTCTTGATATGAAGTTTACATTTGATGTGAGGTTAAATGACGTTAATACGGAAACCGGACTTTGTCTGCCGTGACTTTCAATAAGAAGATCTGTATTTATGTCATCACAGATAATAAATTGAGCTTTAGGTTTGTAAAGACAATTTACAATGTAATGTGACTTATTTAAGAATTGCTTGGGATCTCCTGTGGGTGGTATGTGTGTAGGTAGAACATATATTTAAGAAAATTTATTAGATTACAGTTTTGTAGCACAGCAGTTTTGCATTTTGTTTCGTACAAAGATGTGTACTATCTATATGATTAAATTTTGAACTCTCATCAGATTTTGTACAGAAGTTGGCTCCAAGAGTGTAACTGTTAAGATTAATTTGTAAAATTTCAGGTAGTTTCAAATGGTGCTCAGTTAAACAGAGAATATGGGATGAGTGTATACTTTTAACAGAAATTAATAATTCTTAGTTTATTTTGACAGGCCTCTGATGCTCTGATAGGGCCAAAAGATTGTTATTACTGAATTCTAAGTTCAGAAATAGTTTGTTGATGATTGGCTGTCTGTTACATATTTAGTTTTGCATTCAGATATTATCCTAAAAATTAGCCTCGATCTTGCACCTATGATCACAGCAATCTTAATGTTATCTGGCATACACCTAATCTTGTCAGCACAAGCATTCTTTTACGTTTAGGATTAAGGTGCAGTCCGTGTCTAGTGTGATCATACCTAACCAAAGATTATTCATCAGTCGATTGAATGTGGGACTTCAAAACACGTTCATACCTCATATTCACACTCATCCACCTGTTTGTGTGAAGCCAGTCTTGTCTTACCAGGCCAAGAAATCCGGCGTTAATGTGCCTGCTGTTTTTGGCAATATTGTCCTCCTGCGTTTAGTAATTGAAGGCTGTTGCCTGCCTGGTCCTCCCGCTAAAATACGTGATCGTCTTTGGTAAGATTCCCGCTTAATTTTTTAAGATCCCCTACAAGATTTCCATGTACGCGTGCATTATGATTGAATATGCTTATAAGATTTTCTTCCCAAAGGATTCAGTGAAGCTGCTCATGCAGTTCTGTACCGTGACTGCTGCCTATGAGCAGAACCTTTTCACATTTCTTGTTACTTTTACGTTGGTCTAGGTTTTTGGATTTTCTGTGTTCATGAACTCGGCAACTTTCTAAGGTTTGGAAATAGCCAGAGCCTCAGATTTGTTGCTCAGGCTTGCATGTCGTGAAATGGACTTGTTTGTAGAGAATCACTTTTACTAGCTATTGTAAAATAACTCTGGATTATGTTGAATTTCAAGGTAATTTAATTGTCATACTTCCGTGGATGATATTTCTGTTTTAGCGTCTAAGTTGCTCATTTAGTCAAGAAGTACACCATGTTATGGAACCCAAAATTTCATCACTCTTTTTACAAAAGCCTGCCACTTTACATACAAACATTGTGTGTTAAAATGTCGGAAGTTGCGCACAAGTGAGTCCTTGCCCGTTGTTGAAAAGCTAGAATTTTTTTTTTGTGTGTGTTCTTGACACGTGTCTGTCCCTGTCTGTATGATATGAGTGTTACCTGTTTTCTCTTTAGTGGAATAATGTATTGAAATTTTATGTCGATGCATGATAGTACACAAGGTGTTGATGTGAGACTTGCTTGCTGATTGCCGTAGCATGGTGGTAATTGGCTGAATTACTTTTATATATGTAGGCAATGGCACAGAGGTTTTCTCTTTAAGCGGTGCTGATCCAGATATTAATATCTGTTGGCACTGAATTTCATGACTGAATGAGATGGTAAAACACAATATTCAGTACATGAGACAAGTCTCAGCCACCCAGAGAAGTCTGTGTTGGCAGAGACTGCAGCAAAGCAGGAAACAGAATTTATTTGTCTGTGTGGGTGGATGTTCTGTAGACGGCATACCCCAGGAAGTCTCTGGGTGTTAGTTGCCCAAGATATGCAGGAAGAGTATTTGGCAATTTATTTCCATTTACTTGGAGGATTTGATGTTTGGATGCAGTTTCATCAGACTGGAACTGATGGCTTCCTGCTAGAAGGCTGTTATAAGGGGAGAGTGGATACCCCATTGAGGTGCCTATGACTTGTTGGTGATTGTTTAAAATGTACTGCAATGAATTCTTTAAACAAATTATATTGGCCAAAGTGACGTAAATTATCACATTAATAAATCAGGCACCGCGTTACCTTACAATATGGCTTATATTCGTAAGTACCTAAACTATGAGTCATCTGCAGCAACAGTTTTCTGCTTCAATATATGGATTGCATACATAATTGAGGCCCAGTAAGTGACTTCCAACTCGGGCATCTAAACGGGTAGCAGGGAAATTGAAGTTGATTGATTTCTTCTCGCTGTCCCTACGTGCAGGTCTAGGAGTGATGCCTGGACAATAGACAAGTACACTCATGTAGGTCAAAGTGGCTTAGGCACTCGGACAGTCATAATATGTTACGGACAGTAGTTGGTAACCTGTAGAACTCAGGCCACACGTGGCTCTCAAAAACGTTTGGTGCAGCCTGTCACATGCAAGACAGGTAATAATTTTCTTCCATTTAGGAAGACATTGTTATAAATATTGTATTATCTAAGTGTACAGGCAGTCACAAAAAATATTTAAGTGAAACAGAAATTGTGTAGATGTAGCCCTATAAAATTAAAATTGGGTTATTGTGTAAAGGTGCATGGTGACCCAATGGATAGAAGATTGAGGGACTAACTTACATGAACAGTCGAAAGAATAAGTAAGGTGATTTATCACTGAATTTCATGACTGAATGAGATGGTAAAACACAATATTCAGTACATGAGACAAGTCTCAGCCACCCAGAGAAGTCTGTGTTGGCAGAGACTGCAGCAAAGCAGGAAACAGAATTTATTTGTCTGTGTGGGTGGATGTTCTGTAGACGGCATACCCCAGGAAGTCTCTGGGTGTTAGTTGCCCAAGATATGCAGGAAGAGTATTTGGCAATTTATTTCCATTTACTTGGAGGATTTGATGTTTGGATGCAGTTTCATCAGACTGGAACTGATGGCTTCCTGCTAGAAGGCTGTTATAAGGGGAGAGTGGATACCCCATTGAGGTGCCTATGACTTGTTGGTGATTGTTTAAAATGTACTGCAATGAATTCTTTAAACAAATTATATTGGCCAAAGTGACGTAAATTATCACATTAATAAATCAGGCACCGCGTTACCTTACAATATGGCTTATATTCGTAAGTACCTAAACTATGAGTCATCTGCAGCAACAGTTTTCTGCTTCAATATATGGATTGCATACATAATTGAGGCCCAGTAAGTGACTTCCAACTCGGGCATCTAAACGGGTAGCAGGGAAATTGAAGTTGATTGATTTCTTCTCGCTGTCCCTACGTGCAGGTCTAGGAGTGATGCCTGGACAATAGACAAGTACACTCATGTAGGTCAAAGTGGCTTAGGCACTCGGACAGTCATAATATGTTACGGACAGTAGTTGGTAACCTGTAGAACTCAGGCCACACGTGGCTCTCAAAAACGTTTGGTGCAGCCTGTCACATGCAAGACAGGTAATAATTTTCTTCCATTTAGGAAGACATTGTTATAAATATTGTATTATCTAAGTGTACAGGCAGTCACAAAAAATATTTAAGTGAAACAGAAATTGTGTAGATGTAGCCCTATAAAATTAAAATTGGGTTATTGTGTAAAGGTGCATGGTGACCCAATGGATAGAAGATTGAGGGACTAACTTACATGAACAGTCGAAAGAATAAGTAAGGTGATTTATTTACTGTTGAAGATTTCTGTCTTCTGGGTTGTTACGCCGTGTAGTCTGGTCGATGTTAACCAACGTTTCAGAGGTCATACTGCCTCCGTCATCAGGGCGATGCCCATCGTCCCTAGCTCAGCCTCCAACATGTATGAGAATGTCTGTATGTGCTGCTACACTCCAAGTCTCATGGGCTGAGGATTACGACACACACAGTAATGATGCACATCTAGCCTGGCCCGTGGCATTTGCGGTGAAACTGACCCAGAGAAGCGCCACGTTTAAAGCTGCAGTATTGGCGATCCAATTACAAAAATCATTGCGGAGGTCTGTCCTGAGCAATGGAAGTGACAGAGTGATTCCAGATGTATCCACTGATTTTCTGATAATCCGTCTTAGACATATGAGCAGACACCTGTACCTGGGATCAGGAACCCCATCCACTTAGGTCCTTGCTTTCTGTGAGCATGGAAGTCCATCTTGAATGGTCTGTTATTTATGATTCACATGGTAGTGATAACTACCCTGCATTTCTGCATAATGCCGACTTGATTCCCAGTGTCTGGATTGGATCATCAGGCATGCTGACTGCGAGGGTTTTGCTGTCGGCCAGTCAGTCAGTCAGTTTTTGATGACGAGGAATGTTTATCTGTTGACTCTGTAGTGTGAAGTGTTTTATGTGGTCTTTATTCTGCACTGCATCGTTTCACATCTACCAGTCATCCAGAAGACCTTGTCATATCTTTATCCCTCGGTGGATGAATGAATATTGCTACGCTATGTGGGCTTGTCTCTTTCAGACCCACCCTGACATATTTCAAGCGCTTCCATGCTAAGGCTCGGCACATTCCATGTGAGGTGTTTCTCTTTCCTGGCTTTTTCCTTCTCTTCATCATAGGAATTGATTGTGCCTGAATATGTGATTTTAGGCTGGATTATATTGGGGAAAAGCAGAATAAAATAACATTGTCTGTAGTTTTTATAGGCGTGATGCCATCTTATGTAAATATGTTTTTTTTTGTGGTTTCTTTAATAACCCCGAGGATTTTTCAGAAAAGTTTTAATATACAGATTTGTATTTTTGTTTGTTGCAGGAAGCAGTACCAGCATTACATTCAAAACACGTGAAGGAAGAGCCAGAACCCACTCCTGGACCGTCCTCTCAAGGTGATTTGATGCATGCGTAGTGCTTGATGTTACTGTGCAGTGTTGCATGAAATGGGTGTCTGATTTGTTAGTAGCATAGCCTTTCATATTTTTAATTCTTGTCCTTTCACTGTAGGATGTGTTACGAAGAGAGGCACATTTCAGTTAATTTCTTAGTCAGGTCTTTTCGCAAGCAAGATTTTACTCGCTCCTTCCATCAGTTTTTCCAGCATTACGAGCACCAACAGTAACCACAGTATAATATTTTTAATTGAAAATTTTCATGGTCTGAAAATGTGTCGTCTAAAACTTGCAAGAACAAATAGTAAACCCATCATTACAACATGTATTTATGTCACACATATATGTAAAAGAAATATAGTTTGTGTTAATTTATCGCATATGACAAAACACTAAGTGTTTTGCCATACAGTCATGTTTAAATGTTGCATGAATTTATTGGAATGTCAAATTAAAATACTAAATGCACTTACTGGCATGGGCTGTAGAAGTGTGGATCCGTACTTATATGTGTTTAGGTCATCATCAGAATAGTTACAAATCATTGTGCTTATTCCAGTTGAAATAAAATAAAATTAAAAGTTATTATTCTGCCTTTGCATATGGATAAGATAGAGCCATTATTTAATTGCTGGAATAATTTTGTATAAATTTGGTCCAGGTGTTGACATTGTCTTGCGGTAAGTTCATTGAGGCCTACCGTATTTCGAACAGATGGAATCCGTGCAAAGGTGTTGCTCTTTTATATGTCGAGGAATTGCTGCACTGTAAGACTGTTCTTGAATTCGGATGTAATTTTCTATTATTTATGCTGGAACAAGGTTATCTTGTTCAAAAGTCGCTGATGTTTCTCGGACCATCTGTGTCCCCATCATCAGGGCTATGATGTACCTGTGCTTTTATTGTCCCACGTACGAATCTGCTCAGAGCCTGTATGTGAATCTTAGTGTGAAGCTAGTGAACAGAGTCGAGTGCTTTGCTTGGCCTTGATTTCAGATTGTGCGTCTCTGTATTGCTCAGACATTTGTCGCTAGGTACCAATACTAATTGAAAGCGAAGCCTCCATCCTTGTTGAAGTGTCTGGGATGAATGACAAAGATTATAGTACTGTCATCACAACTGTATTATATCACATGTGAAAATTAAATATTGACGCCATTATCAGTTGTGCTGTAGATATTTAAAAAGTAACTTGGATCTGTCTTCAGAAACTATTTTTTAAGTTATTCCCATTTATTTTATTTTCATATTCCACTGTGTGTTTTGGTCTGTAACTCGGACCATCTTCAGGTGGTGGTATTATGAGGATAAAACTGAATACTAGTGTGGTTAAAAATCCTCAGGAGATAAAATTATGATAAAATGTTTACATTACGCTATATTGTAGCTTGTACCTTTGGCACAGTTTACATGATTTTAAATGCAGTAATAAAATTGAATGTACGTTGAATGGACAGAGGAGTGTGCCCCCAACTGTCGGGCACTTGCGGTAGTGGAGACAGTAAGGGGATGAAGGGATAAGAGGCTGGAGGTGGTTGCATGAGGAGCAGCTCCATAATTATACTTTTCGCTGAATGTCATTAGGATTATCAAATTGAGAAAGATGATTTTGGAAGTCCGTGCAGCACGCATGGAGGTGATTAGAAATACAGTAATGTTTATGAGTATTACACACCCCTGGAATTTGAAATGGATTGAAGAGGGGTGGGTTACTGTCTTTGATTTATATCCTTCACTATTTTTGCATATTGAATAATAATAAGACAAAATCTTTGTTTGCTTTCACAGACCCAGGTCAAGCCTTTGTCCGACCAAGTAGTACGAACAACCCCGAACAGTATGCCCTTGGTAAGTGCAAAGAACTAACTGTGCCTATAATAATAACAACTTTCTCAATTTGTTGTTTGTAGTGTTTGTGGTTGTGCTTTAGATATGTGTAAAGAAATTCACTGAAAGTATGTACCTTCTCATGCTACAATTTTTTTAATCGCAGGAAGCACTTTTAGTCCAATAACATGCTTGTGTATATGTGCGCGTGTGCGATTGAGTGTGTTACTTTTAATGAGCCTTTGCAAGTCCATTTTAAAATAATGTCCGGTGGTGAATGCAAATTTTTATCTCCAGTAGAAATAACATATTAGTAAACTAGAAGATGTGGTGAGAGTATGTTTCAGGAAGACTTGATTGATGCGCGTATGTCCAAAAGTGTGGCGATGTTATTGTTTCTGCAGATACAATAATTTTACATCTTTTTGATAACTGCATTACAGTCATCTGCTCTGAATCTCTGAAAGAAGCGTTCTTTTTTGAACATTCTGCAAACTGAGATTCTTGAGACCATGCAAGATAGTCTCTCTTATATTTTGAGATACAAGGAAACTTTGTTAAACAACTAGTGATCTGTGCACATTAGTGCACTGGCTGCTTAATGAAGAAACATAAATGGGCTGAATTTAGCTTCCTGTCCATTGGTTGTTTGGAAGATGTTTTTCCACAGGTAATGCGTTCAGATGTGAAGCTGACTCAACTCCATCTAGTGTCGAGTTCTAGAATGCTTGCTGAAAATTATTTAAGTTGATCAGAATGAAGATCTAGGAAGGTCTTTTTGGACATGCAATTTCCGCATTTGTTTGAATAGAGAAACAAAATTACCTCCATTAATTCTGTCCATGAAGGTTAATTATTTTGTATGATAGAAGGATATAAGTGGATAGTAGGAGAAGCAGTTACATAACGAGGAAGTTCTTACTTCAAACAGGGTGTTTCTGAAATACATGGCACCACTTCAGGGATACAGAAATGAAAAATGTATATGTAAACATGGGTCAGTGAACACCGTTTTAGAGCCGTGGCCCACAAGCTCACCGGACTTAAACCCACCAGAATTTTATTTGTGGAGCTGTCATAAAGTATTGTGTATGCTGTGGCGGTTAAAGGTGTAATGGAATTATAACGGATGGTAGAAGATAGATGTGAGTTCATTTGTGACATGCCTGGAATTTTTGAGCTCGTGTGACAGTCCTCAGGGAGAGATGCAGTGCGCTGTGTAGAAACACAGGGACAACATTTTGTGATTCTGTTGTGTCAAAGCAGTGATCTGTAAAGGAATCAGCGATTTGTGAATAAACACTTTCTTGCGGACAGGTTTACACTTTATTTTTTATCCTTCTCCTTCCAAAATTAAATGGGCAATAACTCAAAGGTGAAGCATCTGAAGACCCATGTTTATATTGGCTTTTTTAATTGCTTTTGCATATACGACGTGCCCCTAAAGTGGTGCCATTCTGTGTCTCTAGTAACAAGGAACTTGTTTCTTCATGTTGCATGCCTACCATTTTAAGAGCGGTCAAATGTAACCCTTTACCAACCATTTAAAACATTAGTGAGTGGTGCTGTCACTGCAGTTTTGTTTTTTTAAATGACATTTCACTATATTTGGCTGTTGGAATGTGCAGGACCCTTTTAATTTTACTTTATTCTACTGCATTAGGAGCAAACATTAGGGAAGGCTGGTCTTATCATGTAACTCTGATGGTGGAAACAAGAAACTGATAAAGAGTTCTGTTGCAAGGAAGGCTCTTGGAAAATAAACATATTGAAGACTGTGAAGAAGATGGTAGGGTAAGAGAGAATGTTGAAGTAAGTTGGTGGGCTTTGATGTTGGCAGCACTGAATATTCAGGCTTCGTCTCAGCAGATGGTGTATTTTGCATTTTTAAATCAAAGTCTCTTATAGGCAGCACAAGTTTTGTTTACCTGTGGGATAAAAGGAAGTCTTGATGTTCTGTTGCTTATCTGGAGGTCCTGCCTCGCATTTCACAACTTACTGCCGATGTCCTTCCTCTCAGTTGAACCTTTGAGCGGAAGTAAACAGATAGCAGCTCCTGGCAGTTGGTCAGCTTGGACCCATCTGTCTGCTGTCTTCCCTCTTAATGCTTCTTACAATGTTCATTGCGATGCTCCATGTTGTTGTCATGGCGTTGCACATCTACAGATTAGGACTTTTGAATTAACTCGTCTCATTGAAATTTAGTAGAAATTGGAAGAGTTTATGTAGAAGTATTATAATGCAGGATTTTTAAATAAGCATGAAAAGGGGCTTCAGGGTTGTGCAAACTGTTACGTCAAGAGATCCAGGTTTAGGAGTACAAACACCATTAGGGACTGTATTTGAAAGACTGTTGTCATGGAAATGATGTCAGTCTATTTCACATGAACTTGTCATTTGTTATGTGTTTTCTCGTCCTTGAAAAAGAACACTGTCCAGTTTATTTAAGGAAACATTTATAAAAAAATACAACGATGAAGACTGCCATCCGTAATGGTTTAATTTCCAAAGCACCGTGGTGCTGAAAGTTTGTTTCTATCAACATAGACATACAAAAAATTCATACATGTTATGAAATTGTAGAAATTTAGTTGCGTAAGAAATAAATGATTTTAGAATTTTAGCGTAATTTCCTTATTTTTTTGAGAGCCAGGCTTATGGTATCATGACTGGGTTGTTTTTATCCCTACAGTTGAACACCACTTGTTGTAATATAAAACAAACATCAGTATTGAAAATTACATGTTCTTGTTCCTTGAGTTAACACTGTGTACTTTTGAAAAAGTTCTAGGTTATTTATGGTGACGTTCATTAATGTATTCACACCGGGAAGGTAAAATTGCTACTTTCTTAAATAGGGTTCCACATGAAATTCTTGGTTTGGCACCAGCCATAATTCTAATTATTTTCTATTATAAAATAAAATACCCTTTTACTGTTGGATGAATTGCCTCAAGTAAATTTGTATTTTTATAGGATTGTTGTTTTAGGTTAGCTTGCTTAGTAGTTTTTTGAAAATGTGAGAATTCCCAAATTATTTTCTTTTGTGTCTAATTTCTTCTTCAGCCCAGTAAATGCCGGCTGTAGGGCTTTGTCGGTTCGGAATACCTTCCATGGGGGGTAATGGAATCATTGTAGTTAAGAGATGTGAATACTGGTGCCGTGTATTACTTCGTCTTTTATGATTGCATAGGTGTAGAATTTTGTGTATGTAATATCTGTTTTTTGTTCATGGGATTTGATTGTTTTAGGGTCTTCGGTCAAAGGGGCAGTGTTGAGAAATCATTATTGTAGTGTGTTTTGTGTTACTTAGGTTTAGAAAATAATTATAATTCCTCAGTTTAACAATAATGAAAGAGTGAAGTTGTTTTGTTTAGAAATAGAACAGTGCTTAACACTATGACCAGTGTTTAGAGGAATTACATTTACAGCCTATTAAAGTCAGGATTTTGGGGGGAAATAGTTGCAGTTTAGGTGTTGTGAATCTTTTAATTATCCTTTCTTAAATTCGTGTTACGGGGCAGTTGACGACTGCTGAGAGATAAGAATATTGCAAGCCATCATGTCAAATATAAGTTGTAGAAAATTTGATGTGTTAAGTACTTTGTGAATAAAGTACAGTAATCAGATTGAAGTGATTCTTTGCAGATTTAACTTTGGTAAGGTAAACACACCAGTCTTAACACTTACTTCATGAATATGTGTATGAATTGGTACATGAATTTGGACTGATGGGGTTTAGCGGATGGGCACAAAGAAACGAGCAAAATTCAGGGGAGGTTTCGTGAGAAAGTATCGAGGATACTTAGATTTGTAGCAGTTGGGGTAGCTGAATTGCAGATGCCAAGTGATAGTTGGAGGTCGAGGTATTGTTTGGAGCAGATAATTTAGAATTGTTTGTCGCCATTTGTTGAATCAAATAATTTCTGTTTGGAGCCATATCTGAAACTAAATATACCAGACACTGATGCACATTTGTTTTAGTAATACACACGTGTTAAATACTGGTTACAACTCGTTTTGAATACTTTTGTTAAAACAGGCATCTTCGGCGCATAAACCGTATTTATCTTCTGTATTTTTCACGTGATTCAACACAGCTTATTTTAATAGTAATTGATAATGAACTGTCAATAATTGGTGAAGCAAGGATTTTAATGTTCAGGAAGTGATACTCAGTCTGTGCGCACATATTTTATAAGGTTATGTGGTAATATACCAGGAGTGGAAAAGTGATGGAGGCCATTTAAAATTTAACAAAAATGTGGAGACGAAGTCTCCTGGAAGGAGTCATCAGTGAAAGTATTTTCGCGTGGAGTGAGATGTCAGGACCAAGAATACAGTGAGTGAAGGTGAAGAAAGCGCATTCTTAATACCTTGGTCGCCAGGAGCCAACACTGTGGCGACATGCAGTGTGAGCTGTACAATGTGATGATCAATGAAGAAGGGGAATTCAAGCTGATTACTCCTTGAATGAGTATTGCAATATGTACCTGATACTTGGTACATGTTGTAACAGAGCTAATGGTGCAGTGAGGGGATTATGTAGGTGCCTTCCAAATGGAGACGTGTTTCACCAGCTGGACCAAAGAATGAGGGGAAACAATGTGCTACTAATGCCATCAATGCATAGAGGTGCACACTTGCCGGACACTATCAGTTGAAGAGATCGTTGTGGACGTGGTCGCACCGGGCCTGTGCAGTTCAGTGTGGATCCATCATAACATTTTCCACTTCATCCTCCATGACCATGAATTGTACCTGTACCATTACATGCAGGTCCAAGGCCCCGTGCCTCATGATATCCTCTTCTTCAGTGCTGCAAGCAGCTCGTGTGTAAACACCAGTGTGATCCTGGTTTTTTTGAATGTATCTTGTGGATGGGTGGAGCAGCATTCACCTGTGAAGGTGTCTTCGAATTTGTTGTGCCCAGCTGTCTGTACTGTAAGATGCGCTATATGCATACCATTCGTTGCTCTCAAACCAAATGTGTTTGCTAATACACGAGTGCTACCCGCTAC